CCTACCCTGCTCCCCGGGATTCCAGCAGCACTCACCTCCTAGGTCTTCCTGCCTCTACCCTCACCCCAGGAGTCTTCCCCTGTAACAGCCAGAGGAATCCTACAAAGAGCTAAATCAAAGCACAGTCCTCTGGCCAAAGGCTTCCCATGGCTCCTACCTCTCTCAGGGTAGACATCCAAGTCCACACATGGCCCATAAGCTCTGCACCATCTGCCCCCACAGGCCTCCCAATTCCGTCCCTATCCTTTGCTGTGTCCTTCCCTCAATCCACTCCAGCTGGACCTCCTTGCCTGTACCCGCCTCAGACTCTTGGGATTAGCATTCCATCTACTGAAACACTCTGCCTCTTCCCTCTATTCGGGACTCAGCTGGGATGCCACCTCCTCAGAAGCAGTTTTTGTGTCTCTGATTACTGTCTGCCTTCCCAACAACAACGTCTGCTCCATAGAGGCAGGCGGTGCCTGTCGTCTTCACTGCAGGTCCCATCTGGGATGGCATTGGCCCTTACTGCTCAGTGCACATCTGTGGAAGACACAAGGTGCTCATTCTGGCTGCAGGCAAAGGTCTGACGAGCAGAAGGGGCCATGATTACAGGCTGGGGTCAGTAAGCATGGGCCAGGCCAACCTCAAAGCCTCACCACACAGGCTGGGCCCCTACCCACCCTGTCCTCCGCCCCCAGCCGGAGACTCCTGCTCAGACTCTCCACAGAGGACATGTTCTCACATACAGTCACACATTCAGGCATCCACACTATCACACAGTCACATCCGCGATCACAGTCACAGTCCCTGCACCATCACAGAGCAATTCTGCACAGTCTGGGACCCTCCTGCTGTATCCGGCCCTCCTGGGTACCACCACCAGACACCCTCTTTCAATGTGACATCCACACCGTGCTGCAGGATTATCACATATGGTGACTAACACAGAGAGCACACGCACAAGTTACACACACAAGAACTACCCACAGACGTGGTCACAGCGAATAACACATTCACCTTAGACTGTGGAGCACCTACAGCCACAAAGGACAAACACGTGCAATCACCTGTATATGGTCTCAAAAAGCAACACATGCTACACACGGTGACACCCCTCACACCGACACCGTCACCCCTCACCCCCACGCACGGTGCACGCTTCCACCTCCCGCACAGCCCCTGGCCCAACTCTCCACTCACGGCCGCCACAACCCCACAGTGGGCCAGCCTTCTGCCCACTACCCGCCCGCACTGCAACTACCGTCGTGCCCCCAGGGTGCGCAGGAGGGGACGCGGGGCTTTCTGGGGCTTATAATCCGGGAGGACGGGAGGGCGGCGTGCGGGCTGCGGAGCTTGAAACGCGAGCACCCTGAGCATTGTGGTTCCGCCGAGCCCGCGCGCCCGCGGGACGGCGAGGCGCATTCTGGGAATTGTGGTCCCGGCGGGCGGGCGCGCTGCTGGACAGCGCGGCGCATTCTGGGAGTCGTGGTCCCGACGAGCGGGCGCCTCCCGGTGAGCTCCCGGAAGTGGCTCCCGCCGCGCGGGTGAGGTGAGTCTTGGGGCGGTCCGCTGGGGTCGCGGCGGGAGAGGAACCCTCCAGGCCCCGAAGCCGCCAGCTCGTGCGGCGGCCTGTGCGAGGCGTGCGGGACCGACCCGCCGGCGGGCACTGAGGCGCTGACCACGAGCGGCTCGACTGGAGGGCCGCGTGACGGCCGTCCCAGCCGAGTGTAGAACTCCTGCCCGAGCGTGGGGCCCCCGGACGGGGATGCAGCCTGAGAGTGGGCTGCAGCGGCGCCACGCCGCGGGCGCGCGTTTCTGACGGGCCGCTCGCTGTGGTGTGTGGCCGACGGGGCTGGGGGCTTGCGCTCCCGCGGCTTGTTGTGTGCGGTCAGGAGTGGGAACGTGGGGGTGTGGCTGCGGGGCGCGCGGCTCAGAGCCGCGGATTGACGGGGTTCGCGGGGGCGTTGGCGCCGCTGTGAGGGCCTGCGGCTCCTGCCCTGACTGGGAGTGACACAGAGATTGGGAGTGCCCGGGTGGATTCGGGGGTGTGGCTGACGCCGCGCCTGAGGTAGGCTGTGTGCGTGCGACCGTGTGGCTAAGACGTTGCCGGGCCCGCTGGAACGGGGCTGCTAAGCAGAGTTTACTGGGTCTGTGCTTCGCCGCGTCCGCAGCTGCAGCTCTTGGACGGCGGCCACCCACCCGGGTTTGTGGATGTGTCCCCAGCAGCTTCTGTGTGCTTAACCCGGCAGGAGGCTGTGGAGTCCGCGGACTGGGTGTGTCCACCACGTGTTCGCCAGTGCCGGCCGCTGCTGCACGTTCGTCATGGAGCGCCTTGGGTGACCTCACAGCAGCCCTCTGAGGTAGGTCAGTTGTCAGGACAGCCACAAGTGAGGACCACTGTCTTCGGTTGGCTGAACACTCACGAATCGGGGACCTTGACCTGATGTGCGGTCAGTGCGGAGGGGGATGGGCTGAGGCGGTTCCATGTCCGTGTGTTTCAGCGACTGTCATCAGGAATTTTCCAGAATAGAAGCTCCCGGTGTCCAAAAGGGAGCTTGGAATCTCGGTGCACTTACTGCCGTCCCTTCTGCTTCCCCTCCCCTGTACAGTGACTCCCCACGTCTGTGGGTGACCATGCCCAGCCTTCCCCGGTCCCCATTTGCTCAGCACCTGTTTACTATGCACGTGACGTAGGCCGTGCCCTGGGCGCTGTTGCTCCCGCTTGCCGGGTCTCTCTGGGGTAACATGTGGTTACGGCCAGAGCTATAGGAAAGAGAGACCCAGGGCATTCACTTAGCTTGTTCCAAGCGCTTGGACAGCTCTTGGAGCCGAAGGCAGGCAAAGCGCAGTCTGGAGGAGGAGAATTTAGGTGCGGAGAGAGATCGCAAAACATGAGAATAACAGGGACGAAGGCTGTAAAGATGGGGGTTGGGGATGATGGCAAGGACAAGGTGACAAGAGGTCCAAATGAGCTTCTAGGGGCTCGAACACAGTTTTGCCAGAAGTTGCCAGCTGCCACAGAAAGGTTTCGGGATTGGGGACTTACTTTACTAAGGTTTGCTTCTCCCTGTGCCCAAGGCCATGGCTCAAATGCCAACCAACATTTGTTACCTCTCTCTTTTTTTTTTAAGATTTTATTTATTTATTTGAGAGAGAGAGAATGAGAGAGAGAGAGGATGAAAAGGGAAGAAGGGTCAGAGGGAGAAGCAGACTCCCTGCCAAACAGGCAGCCTGATGTGGGACTCGATCCCAGGATTCCAGGATCATGACCTGAGCCAAAGGCAGTCGCTTAACCAACTGAGCCACCCAGGCGCCCCTGTTACCTCTTTGATTTTAGCCATCTTAGCAGGTGTAAAGTGGTATCTCATTGGGAGTTTGATTTGGATTTCTGTGGTTGAGCATCTTTTCATGTTGCCTCTTAGCCATTTGTATATCTTCTTTGAAGAAATGTCTAGTCAAAACCTTTGCCCGTTCTTTAACTGGATTATTTGTCTTTTTATTATGGAATTGTTTAGATACAGGTTCCTTATCATATATATTTTGTAAATGTTTCCTGCCATTTTATGGGTTGCCTTTTTGCTTTCTTGTTGGTGTCCTTCAAATCATGAAAGTTTTTAATGTTGATGAAGTTGTTTATCTGTCATCATTTGTTTATCTTCCTTCATTTATCCGGGAAGGCTTTGCATTTTTTAAATTGAAGTATAGTTAATGTACAACATTTTATTGGTTTCAGATGTACAACCGTGATTCAGAATTCATACACAGTGTAAAATGCTCTACAATAAGTCTAGTTACCATTTCTTACCATAAAAAGTTAATACAATATCATGATCTATATTCTGTGTGTTATACATTACATCCCCATAACCTATTTATTTTATAAGTGCAGGTTTGTATCTCTTGATCCCTTTCACCCAGTCCCAAAACCCCTTCTCTGGCAGCCATCAGTCTGTTCTCTGTATCTATGAATCTAGTTGTTGTTGTGTTGTTTTTTTTTTAAGATTTTATTTAAAATAAATATAAGAATAATAAATAAATTTAAATAAATAAATAAATAAATTTAAATAAATATTTAAAATAAATTTAAAATAAAAATAAGAGAGAGAGAGCGCACACAAGCAGGCAGAGGCAGAGAGAGAAGCAGGCTCCCTGCTGAGCAAGGAGCCGGATGTGGGACTTGATCCCAGGACCCTGGGATCTTGACCTGAGCCGAAGGCAGCCACTCAACCAACTGAGCCACCCAGGCGTCCCTGAATCTAGTTTTCTTTTGTATGTCCACTTGTTTGTTTTTTAGATTCCACATGTAAGTGAAATCAAATGGTATCTGTCTTTCTCTGATTTATTTCACTTATCATAATACCTCAGGGTCCATCCATGTTGTCATGAACGGCAAGATTTTATTCTTCTTTATGGCTGATATATATATCTATATCTATCTATCTGCGTATATCACATATATGTATGACATTATATGTGTATCATGTATATCATGTATCATTTGTATATGTATCATATCATGTGTATATGGATATATATGATATATATATGCCGCATCTTCTTTATCCCTTCATCTGTTGTTGGACATTTAGGTTGCTTCCATATCTTGGCTATTATAAATAATGCTGCAGTGAATATAGGGGTGAATATATCTTTTCGAGTTAGTGTTTTCATTTTCTTCAGATAAATGCCCAGAAATGGAATTGCTGGATTGTATGGGTAGTTCTGTTTTTAATTTTTTGCATTATTTTTTAAGTTTATGCAGAACACTGACTAAAATTAACTATATATTGGGTTACAAACCAAGTCTTAGCAAATTTCAAAGGATTAAAAATGACTAAAGCACATTTTCTGAGCACAACAGTCTTAATCTGGTAATCAACAATAAGAAGATAACTAGAAAACCCCAATTGTTTGGAAATGAAAGTAGATTTCTAAATAACCCATGGGTCAGGAAGAAACTACAACGAAAATGAGAAAATATTCTGAACTCATTAAATGATAATGAAAATGCAACATCGAACTTATGGGTATGCAGTTAAAGCTTTGTTTAGAAGGAAATTTATAACCTTAAGTAAATGTATTAGAAAAGAGGAAAGGAAGAAAGGCTGAATGTCAATTATATAAGTATCCATCTCAGAAGCTACAAAATAATTAGCAAATAAAGTGAGTGAATGACCGTGTGTAGCTACCTGAGGAGTGTGTGTGAGGGGAGGGAGATCTGGTTCTGTGTGGGAAGAGCACTGTAAGCAGACCATCCATGGGCTCAGGCTGCCTTGGTTTACAGCTCAGCAACTCCCCATACCTTCAGTATCTGGGAATCTTTGGGCAACTCTTCTCCTTTCTATCTGTTTTCATATCGATACAATGGAAAGGAAGTTCCCACCTCCTGACTTTGTTGTGAGTTTTAAATGAGTTACTATATACAAACGTTTAGAATGGTGCTTAGCACCTGATTATTTTGAGCATCTATGTCTCTGTGAGAATGAGTCACATCTCACAGGCCCCCAGTCTGCATCTGCCCTGCTCTACAGGTACGAGCAGAGCCCCAAGTTCCACACCATGACAAAGTTCTGGCATTCCTGCAGACCCAGTTCCAACACTCCAGCCCTCCTGTGCCTCCCTTTTGTGCTGCTGCTTGATGGCCATCCCCAAGAGTCCTCTGAGCCCAGCGCCCTGGGAACAGGAAGGCTTCCTGCGTGTGAAGGTGGAGGATGAGGAGGCCACCCTCTCTGAGATCCAGGAATCTAGCTCTGGCCACACCGCCCACCCTGAGGCTGCTCGTCTTCGCTTCCGGCGCTTCTGCTATGAGGAGGCATCCAACCCACATGAGGCACTGGCCCGGCTGCGTGAGCTGTGCCACCAGTGGCTGCAGCCCGAGGCGCACTCCAAGGAGCAGATGCTGGAGCTGCTGGTGCTGGAGCAGTTCCTGGGGGCACTGCCCCCCAAGATGCAGTCCTGGGTGGGTGCCCAGTTCCCCAAGAGTGGTGAGGAGGCTGCCATGCTGGTGGAAGGTCTGACTCGGGCACTCGACAAGAGAGGTGAGGCGGAACAGCTGGTAACTGTTCACAGCACACTGAGGGCAGAGCCCGGACTGGAATGTGGGAGTGCAGGGTTTGGGCTTGGGGTCGCTCACACACGCACTCGTCACCTTTGTACCTCACCCAGACTCTCACACACTGTGCTAAGCAGATCTGTTTTGATTGCTAATGACCAAAATCCCAGCCCAAACTGACTGAAGCAAAGTAGGGAGGCTTCGTGGCTATATTCAGGAGTTCTGTTGATGGTATCAGGACTCTTTTTTTCTCATTCTGCTTCTCAGTTGGGTTATCCTATATTAGTTTCTCTCTCTCTCTCTCTTTCTTCTCCTTTTCCTTTTTTTTTTTTTTTTTTTTTAAGAGAGAGAGTGCACAGGAGTGGCAGGGAGGAAGAGGGAGAAGCAGACTCACCACTGAGCAGGTAGCCTGACGAGGGGGCTCAATCCTAGGGCCTTGAGATCATGACCCGAGCCAAAGGCAGACACTTAATCAATTGAGCCACCCAGGTGCCCCTAGCTTTACTCTTAAGCAGCTTCTATCCTCATTGGAGATAATATTGGCTCAGCAACCCAGACTTATGTCTTACCAGTGTAGAAACCCCCAGGAAGAACAGTAAAAGATTCCTGGGCTGAGGCCAGCTGAACTGGTTGGGGTCTTGTGCTTGTTTTTTGGATGACCAGATCCCAGGGACTAACATGAGCAAGGAAAACCAGACTGCTGGGGGCTGGAAGCCTGTGAGGGTGGGGGCGGGAGTGACAGAAATACCCAGTGTCTCCTTGTGTCTTCTCTGATTCCTCCCTCTGCTGGCCCTCTAGGATCTGGCTGAGTCAGTCTTGCCCTTAACTAGAGTGGGCACTGTTGATTTGGGGGACCCACACCAATATCCCAGCCCTGGGAGGGCCTGTAGGACGCAGAAAGGATGGCAGGACAATTGAGAGCAGGGAGTGAAGGCTCCTCCCAGAAGGGCCTGGCCTGGTGTGGCCAGGCGTGATGGTAGCAGATAGCGTGTATATCCCAGGACCTGGGAGGAGGCGTGCTGTGAGTAGGAAGAACAAAAGTATGATCAAGGGTTCGTAGATCCAGCCACTGCTCTTCTTCCTCCTGGTCATGTGACTTTCTTGTGCCTCTGTTTCCCTGTCAATAAAATGGGAATTGCAGTCATAATACCTACCTCAGTGTCAATGCCTGGCACAGATTAAACACAGTGGGAACTGGGGCTGTTAGGATGATTTCTTTTTTAGCTCCTTAAGAAGCAGACTTTTCTGGAGAGGGTAGTCATGTGCTTTCCCTTGGCCCCATCAGCTGTGCCCAGGCAGAGGTCATGGGGACAAGGGTAATGACCCCATCTTCCTGCAGGGTCGAGGTTTTCAGAGAAAAGGCAATATGGCACTGAGACAAGAAGGACCTGGCAGTCCAGGCAGAGGGAATGGTGGGAGGTGACGGGCCAGTGGTACAATAAGGACCAGTGAATTCTGGAAAGGCAGGTTGTGTGATATTTCTAGAATAGAGGAAGAAAGGGAGATGTGGGACCAAGCATGTGGCTGGAGAGGCTGGGGAGTTAGGAGGACATCTGTAGGCTTAGAGGAGGAAAGCTGAGATCTACAGTTGAAATCTCAACTTGGCTGCTAGCTAACTGTGTCATCTTGTACCAGTTAGTTACTCAAGACCTTCCTTCAACTGGGCCTGTTTCCTTGTTGAAGTGCAGTCGTTGCAGTATGTCCTTGTGAGAGCAGACTGAAGCTGAAACGAGGCAATGGAAATGACCCACTGTACTTGGAGACTAGCACATAACAAGAGTCCAAGAATGACCAGCACCCCTGGGAGGCGAGCGGTGGTGGGTCCCTCTGGCACAGGTGGGGAAGCAGGGCCAGACAAAAGCAAGACTGCGCAAGGCCCTGGAGCTGGCCAGCGGCAGAGCTGGGGCCCCACTGTGGACTCAAGCAGCAGCTATATGCCTTCTCCCATATCTTCCTGGGGTCTGTCCAGTGCACGATGCTATTCACTGTCCCCAGGTGCCCTGTGCACCCCTCAAGGATCACTTCAGCTCAAAGGTCAGTTCAGACATGCCACTGACTCATACACAACCCAGTCTCCAGCTTCCTTTTAACCATACTCTGCCTCCACAGCCATTTAGAAAGAGTGGGCCTCAGTCCTCCTGGGGTCTTAGGGAAGCCAGGCAGGTGTGTCACCACTCATCCTCAGCAGCACTTGTCTACTTAGGGCTCGAGGTAGAGTCTACTGTAGGAAACTGCACAGTTGTGAGCATCTGGAATTAATTCCCTCATTCAGCCAGTATTTACTGAGCACCTGCAGAAAATGCTCAGTAGGTGTCTAGGTCCATGGGGAAGGCACCAAGAGCTGGGGCCTGCCCAGGGGAAGCGAGTATGCAGGCACTTGGCAAAGAAGAACCCCTGTGCGTGCTTACTTGCTCTCGCTCTCACTCCTTCAGTTCAGTTCAACATCAGAGTCTTCCTTCTGATACTTGAGCAAAAATCAGCAGCCTTGAAGAATGAGACTTGTGGGGAGGGGGGATTGAAACCTGTGATCCAGTTTTTGATGGTGTGGGAGGACAGCCCCATGCCCTTTTGTCATCCAGGACACCAAATGAGAAACTTTCCTTTGGAAATGGGGCCAAATGTTAGGAGTGGCTGTGTCTCCCCTTATAGAGTCAGACCAGGCCGAGTTGGGGAGCCCTGTGTGGAAAGAGTGGTGACACTGTGGTTTGGATTGTTTCAGGATGGGACCCGAAAGCCAAGCTCTCAGAGGCAAACTGCAAGCAGAGTGATTTGGAAGAGTCAGAGCCATTAGACAGGGCCACTGAAACCCTTATGGGAGGTATTTCCCTGGGACCCACCTTTGGTGATGCTTGTGAACCTGAGGGCAGCTCAGAGAGGCAGGCAGGACTCTCGGGGGAAACCTGGACGAAGTCTGTCCCCCAAGAGATGGATTTGAGGGAAACTTCAGAGCCTCACAAGGATGTTCCCATTGACCAGCCCAGCTGTGAATCTGGTGCTTTGGGGAATAGTCCCAATGTGTGGCCAAATTTCACTTCAAAAGAGAAGACACCAGAAGAGAAATTTGATGCAATAGATGGTGATAGGACAGAGCCTCCATGCATATTCTCAGGGAGGAGGTCTTCCAAGTGTGGTGAATGTGGAAAAACATTCCAGAGCCCCTCAGCCCTCGAGACACATCAGAAGAGCCATTCTCGGAAGACACCCTACACCTGTAGTGACTGTGGGAAAGCTTTCAGCCGGAGCACTCACTTGGCCCAGCATCAGGTCATCCACACCGGGGCAAAGCCCCATGAGTGTAAAGAGTGTGGGAAGGCCTTCAGCCGGGTCACCCACCTAACTCAGCACCAGAGGATCCACACTGGAGAAAAACCCTACAAGTGTGGGGAATGTGGCAAAACCTTCAGCCGCAGTACCCATCTCACTCAGCACCAGCGGGTGCACACAGGGGAGAGGCCCTATGAGTGTGAAGAGTGTGGGAAGTCCTTCAGCCAGAGCACCCATCTGACTCAGCACCAGCGCATCCACACTGGGGAGAAGCCCTACAAGTGTGACGCTTGTGGGAGAGCCTTTAGTGACTGCTCAGCTCTGATCCGCCACCTGAGAATCCACTCCGGAGAGAAGCCATATCAGTGTAAGGTTTGTCCGAAGGCCTTTGCACAGAGCTCCTCCCTCATTGAGCACCAGAGGATCCACACGGGAGAGAAGCCATACAAGTGCAGTGACTGTGGGAAGGCCTTTAGCCGCAGCTCAGCCCTCATGGTTCACCTGAGAATCCACATCACAGTCCTTCAATAACCAAAGAAAGCCCTTGGGACACAGAACAACTTCCCCTTGGAGGATCAACATCTAAAAGAAACCCTAAGTTCCAAAGGAACAGAGAACAGGGTGGGTGATTGATAGTACCCTAAAATGATAAGGTGCTTCTGGGCAGATTCTGGGGCTGTCTGGGAACAACTCTGCATTTGGAGACCCAGATGGAGGCACCTGATGAACACAGAGCTATTCAGGCCAGCAGGAGAATCTTCCAGAAGGATTCTGCTTCTCTCCATACCCCACTCAGGCCCATCTCAGAGAAAGGACAGCTGAGCTGAGGACCTGGATTGGTCTTCAGAGCCATGACAATTGGAGTAAAGTTTCTGTCGGGACTCAGTGGTCCCAAGATGCTCTGGGCAGAAAGGCTCTAGCTTCATGTTCCCATGTAGCTGCTCTTATCTTTTCTTACTTCTTAACTTACCTGGTAAGCTGAACTTACCTCTTAGCTTTTCCTCTCCGGCTCAGCCCAGGAGGGATGCCAGCCCACCTCTGTGCCTTCACACCTACTCTTTTGCTCCACCTGTTCATGTCTAACTCCAAGGCCAACCTGTGGGGCTGCCTTTTCTGTGAGGCCTTCTCCAGGCCCCCAGTCTCTCTTACATTCTCCCTAATCAAGGGTGTGACATGATGCTTGCGCAGCATCTGTTTCTCCTTGCCCTCTTCTTCTATGTCCCATCAGTCATCAGCCCTGTTGGCTTTACCAAAAACTCACCTCTAATCCGCCTTCACCATTGTCATCTTCTGTGAGCTCTCATCACCTCATCTGGATTGCAGCTGGGGTCTCCTGCCTTCATTCTCTCCTCTGACTTCCCCCGATATTTCATTCTCCACACCAGCCTCCAGGGGGCTCTTTCTGCAAGCCAGACCTGATTGTGTCACTCCATAGTAGAAAGCTCTCCAATGCACCCCCTTCTTTGGCAAAGCTTCCTGAATGGGTTACAAGTGTGCCAAGACATAAGTCTTGGCCCCAAACAACCTCTCCAGGTACCCTTATATGTGTATGTGAAAACTGTCATTTTTCTATGTGTGCAGTGATGTGAAAATGGTTTCAAAGAACTGCCCTTAGGGATATATGTCAAACTCCTTCACCTGCCATTCATGATCATTTGTGACCTGACCCCCCGCCCCCGTTCATCTCCTCCTGTGGTAGCCCCACCTTCCACACACCAGCCCTGTGGAACTACTTGTGGTTCCTGAAGAAGCCATATTTCCCCCCACCTACGTGCCTCTGTACCTGTGCCTGCAAACCTCTCCTTTCCTCCCAGATGTTTCACATATCCCTCTCAAACAAAGCCCTCCCTACTTCCTTGAGCTGACTTCAACTTGCCTTCTTTGCTTCCAGAGCACCTCCTTAACTTCTCTTTAACTTCCTACCATGTTGTATTTACTGCTTCCAGAGCTTACAGTCTGTATTTCCCAAAGAGACTGTGAGCTTCCAAGAGCAAGGACCATGTCTTATCCTTAGTATCCGCAGCACAGGATGCAGTAAGCTCTGACCAGTGTCTGTTGAATGATTGATTATACCATGACTGGTGCCTTCCTGGAGGCAGTTGCCATGCTCCACCCTGCGACCTGAGAAAGGTTGCTGTCTCCCTGACACCCTGCAGGGCAAGAAGAATCTTATTTTCCTAGAGCCCCAGCACTCAGACAAGCCTGGCATACAGTGGCCTCAATAAAATGTTACCATATTGAGCCTGCCCTTTCTATCGCCCCAGAATTCCCTGGACTCAGTGGTTGCCAGCATGCTGTCAGTGCTCTCTGGCCTTCTCTCACAGTTCTGTATCCCTGCCCCTCTTTCAGGGTCCATGTCTGTAACTGGATGTCACCGCTTCTGTTCTTAACTTTTAGGGTGTCAGTCTTCCTCTCTCTGATGACGCTATCACATTCACATGTTAGCCATTTGGCCTGCCATACTGTTTTGTACTGTACCATCTCTCCCAGTGTTTCTCCCTGTGTCTTGAACTCATTCCCTCTGTGTCACAAGTAAGCAGAGTCACACAGACCAACCAAGGAGTGAGGTTCAGAACAGGAAGGTTGAGACCCAGGGAAACAGATCTTGTATCAGTATCTCTGAGAAAGTCCCAGATACACCTGCACACAGGCAGACTGCCACTCATAGTGAGACCAAGGCTGAGAGACTCAAAGACTCAGACATAGGGAAAAGCTCAGAGATGAGAAATACACATTACTAGTGAAATGATCACACAGGCCTCCAATAAGCCTTCAGGCAATGGAAATATATGGGCCTAAAGTCAGGCTGCCGAGCCCTACTCCTCCCCAGGGCTGCTTTTGGGACCTCAGATTAGTGACTTCCCTGAACCTCAGTGAACTGCTCATCTGTAAAGCAGGAATAAGACGACCTGCCTTGTGCAGGACCCAACCCAGGGCCTGGCGACCAGCTTGCAGTGTCCATCTCCCCCTCTTTCTGCCCCCATTTTCCTTGTCTTTGGCACAGAAGAGCTGAAACTCCACTCCCTGGTGCTCTGAGTATCTCCACCACCCACTTTGTCATGACATTTGTGTTTTCCCATGTTTGTCTAAAGGGGGAGGAAATCAGGAAAAAGGAATCTTCATTAAGGATCCACATGTGTTGTTCACTCTGCCAAATAACTTATGTACATCATCTCACAACACTCAGGGCAGGATGACCATCCCTGTTTTACAGAGGAAGGGACGTGGCCAAGTTTTTACTGCCAGAGACTGGAAGCACTAAGATTTGAAAGCCTATCCAAATATGTCAGCAATTTTAAGAAGCACCACTATGTTCAACAAACCCAAGTAAGTCAAATACTAACATTGGATTTCCTTCAAATCCAGACATATGTTCTTTAGAAGAAACACATTTAAAATGGGCAAGTTGAGGGTAAAGGAATAGAAAAGGATATACAAGGCAGATGTGAATCTGAAGAAAGACAACAGAGCTATATTAATTTCAACAAAATAGATGTTGACATGAAAGCATCATTAGGGTCATAGGATTGCTATGTTGTTTTGGCGTTTTGTTGGTCTGTTTGTTTTTTGTGGCATTTTTGTAATAAATAGAATATGCATTAGGAAGATGTGAGTTTGGAACCAGACAGCTCATGACATCTGTATTAGGGAACAGAATCACAATAACTGATAAGACCATACATGTAGTTGAAAATGCTGCCACATTCTTTGTGATAATAGCAGAGAGAATATTTGAAGAAGTAATTACTGGAAACTTTTCAAATTTGGAAAAGGTGTCAGTTTACAGGTTCGGAAAGCTCAGTGAAAAACAGTGTAATCTCAAAGAAATCCATGCCTAGACACATCATAATTGAACTCCTGAAAACAAATTTTAAAAATCTGAAAACAGTCTGTGAAAAACTATGTATCCTATAAAGATCAGTGCAAAAGATTATGGGTTTCCTGTTAGAAATAGTGAAAACCAGAAGGCAGAGAAACAACATGTTTAAAATGCTGGGGGGGAAAAAAACCCTAGCAATCCAAAATACTATATCCAATGAAAATACATATCAAGAAGGGGAGTAAAATAAAAACATTTTTAAATTATGCAAAACTAACAATCTTGCCAGCAGGCTAAAGAGTGATTTTGGTAGAAAGGAAGTGACATCAGAAAGAAAATCAGAACTTTGGTAGTAAAGAAAGTAATGCATTGCAAATTTTTGTTCTTTAGGAAACACATGAATGTTTTTTAAAAAAGATATGACTGTTGAAAACAAAACTTATAACATTGGTAGTGTTCAATGTATGTTGATGTAGTATGTATGACTACAACATAAAGAGGGGAGAATATCAAAATTCATTCATTGGGGGCGCCTGGGTGGCTGCCTTCAGTTCAGCTCATGATCCCAGGGTCCGGGGTCCTAGGATCAAGCCCCACATCGGGCTCCTTGCTCAGTAGAGAGTCCCTCCCTGCCTGCCATTCCCTCTGCTTGTGTTCTCTCTGTCAGATAAATAAAATCTTAAAAAAAAACTCATTCAGTGATATATTTGAGATTTGTATATTTTAATGCATATACATTATATCCCAAAGAACCATTAGTGTACGAAATTTTTTTAAAAAATTAGAGGGGAGGGCAAAGAGACCTATGTAGTGATAAGATTTCTATATTTCACTCTAAGTGGTATAATATTAATTCTATGTAGACTGAAGAATGAGGTACACATATTGTAATCCCTAGAGAAATGTCAGAGACAGACACACACACACACCTATGCAAAGAAATAAGCCCAATAAATGAATTACAATGAAGCTCTACGGGCACCTGAGTGGCTTAGTTGGTTAAGTGTCTGCCTTCAGCTCAACTTATGAACCCAGGGTCCTGGGATTGAGCCCCACAGTGGGCTCCCTGCTGAGTGGGGAGCCTGCTTCTCCCCCTGCCTCTGCCACTTCCCCTGCTTGTGTTCTCTCAAATTAATTAATTAATTAATTAATTAATTTGGCAGGTGCCCTGCCAATTATTTTTTATTCACAAAGAAGTAATTTCCTATTATTTAAACTAATACAGACTTGTTTTTAAGCCTAATAATAAGCTGTTACTGATGTCTACTCCCAAGAAATCAATGATCTGTGTTTCCTGAAGAAAGTGAAAAAGAACAAATTAATTCAGAAATAGAAGGAAGAGAATAATAATGATACAGGTAGAGATCCACAAAGTAGAAAAGAACCACAGAAAAAATGAACACGGGCGCCTGGGTGTCTCAGTGGATTAAGCCTCTGCCTTTGGCTCAGGTCATGATCACAGGGTTCTGGGATCAAGCCCTGCATCGGGCTCTCTGCTCAGCGGGGAGTCTGCTTCCCTGTCCCACCTCTGCCTGTCTCTATGCCTACTTGTGATCTCTCTCTGTCAAATAAATAAATAAAAATCTTAAAAAATAAAAGAAAAAGAAAAAATGAACAAATCCAAAAGTTAATTAGTTCTTTGAAAAGATTAATACAATTGATAAATCCCTAGCTA